AGGGAATCCCTCCTGAGGAGCTCTTCTCAGGGCCAGCACCGCTGGGTGGGCGTGGGGAGCAGACACTGTCAGGAGCACCTCGGAGGTAGCAGAGATTCCCAGGGCAGCACTGTCCTAGGCTTCTGTTAGGGAGGTGGAGTCTATGGTCTTCCACCCAAATCAGCTCAGAGATGGGGTAGGGGGGTGGAGGGGCACTGAGGAAGGGGCAGGGTGGGATAGTGGCCAGATAACACCCCAGAGAGGTCCACAGGAAAACTTCCCTAGTTTTCTCCCTCCACCCCACTTGGGTTCATCGTTGTTCTCCTTTGGTGCTCCAGCCCCCTGAGACTTCAAGGAAACAGCGTAGGGCAGTACACGGGGGGAAGTGAGCCTGGCCACAGCCTGAAAGGGGCTGCAGCCCCGTGGCTCCCAGTGGGGGTCAGCTGCAGCCACAGAGGCTTAACACCAGTAGAAGACTCAGAGAAGCAGCAGGAAGGGCGCAACCTGGAAATGCTTTTCTGAGCTCTGTTCCGTCCTAGATCAGGGGGATGTGGCTGCCCACACCCGCTTCCTGCAGACTCAGCACCTGCTTTCTCCTGAGCCTTGCAGGCTGGTGGGGGCCTGGCCTCAGCCCAAAGGCCTGACTTACTCTCTCCTAAAGTCAGCCACCCTGGGAAACAAGGATCCCACTAACTCCCCCATTTCATGGCATAAAAATGCACAGACCTGTGGCCTCCTGTGTCAGGGACAGGCCCCACCCTCCAGCATGTTAGGATCTCAGTGCCAGCCTTGCCTTGGCCTCTCTCCCCGATACTCAAGTGCTCTCAGGGTGCCGTCGGGGCTCACTGTGACTTGAGCAGCCTCAGACTAGTCTGCCCTAGCTGTTCCTTACCCACCCGAGAGGAAGACTGAGTTCTAAGATGCAAGCTAGATGGTGTCCCTCTCCTGTTTCAAATCCTTGGAGTCTTGCCACAGCCCCAAACTAGCTGAGACATATTGAGAACACTCACTAAACAGCATTCAAATCCTCTCATCTAATCGCACAATCCAGTGAAGTAGGTTCTATTATTTTACAGGTTTTACTGAAGCCACATTTTAGAGATGAGGAAACCGAGGCTTCATGAGATAAGGTGACTTCCCCAAGGAGCCACAGCTAATACTCCTCAGAGCTGGATTTGAACCAGAGTCCACACACTTTTACCCACCACGTCAGTGTGTCCTGAAGTGAGGTATTTGTTGTGTTGGCCGGGAGATTCCTTTTTCTTTAAATAGTACAGAGGAACAATTTAAATTTTCATAGAAATGCGTTTCTTTTTAAGGCTTTTCTTCTATTTTATTTCTAGCAAGGGATACTGGTTTCCCATTTATGGGTGTGATATAAAGGGTCCCTCTAAAATGAATTTAAGAAAAAAGGCAGCTCATTGAAAGAAAAGTCTTAAGTATCTGGTAGCATGAGTGTAATGTGGATATGGGAAGATGGGTGTTGACACGCTCCTTGCAACCCTGCTGCTCGGGAGACTGACTCTGGCATGCTCACTGGTGCTCTGGCCCTGCGTACCTCACCAGCCTGCCTCTCGCTTTCCCTTCCCTACCTTTTCCACCTTGCTGGGGCCTCTGAACCACTTGCAGCTCCTTGTCCCAGTGCCTTCATACACACTATTCCCTCCACTCGCCCTCTCCATTCTTCTTGGCTGTGTGGCAAACATGAGCTGGAGACTTCGTCCAGCTCAGGCCTCATCTCCTTCTTGAAGCTTTTCTGAAACAGAGTTGACACCTCTGCCACTATTGTCCTCCTGGAGTCACCTGTCTTCACAGCATTATTGCACTTTATTCACCCCTCCTCCCTCCTCAGAAGGCAGGGACAGTCTTCTTGGGTCCAGGGCCTGACACCCAAGAGGAGCTCGATAAATGTGTGTGCAGTGGATGAATTCCATGGGAGGCCAGGTGGGGAAGAGGCTTCCGGCTGGGAGGAATGGAGCGGTGGTTACAGACTTTGGGGAGAAGACGGGTATGGACTTCTGAGGCAGATGTTGAGGGCATCATTGAGAAATGGGAAAGACAGTCTACTGGAAGCTGACCCAGGGATCTATATGGGAGTGTATTATCTCTCAAAGGCAGACTGTCAATTTATTCAATGTCAATGTCAAAAAGCTGGTTTATTTAATAAATGATGCTGCCATCTTGGTGATTGTTCAAGAAGAAAATAAAGCCAGATCCTCCCCTCCCACCTGACATCACCTGCCAGACAGATCCCAGATGGATTAAAGATTTAAGGTGAAAAATAAAAACTAAAAATATTAGGAGAACATTTAGGAGAATAATTCTTTAACCTTGTGGGACAGGAAACCCAGAAACCATAAAAAGAGAGAAAGAAAGATTTGGTTACAGAAAAAAAGTGTTTTTGAGTGAGATGAGGTCCCATAAACAAAATAAAAAGAGAAACAATAGACTGAAAAGAATATTCACAACATGTGCAACAACAGTTGATGTCCATACTATGAAAAAAATTCCTAGAAACCAACAAGAAAAAGGCAAAAAATAATGGGCAGAAGTATATAGACACGAGAAGAGACTCAGGCTCAGTAAGATTAAGGAACATAAAATTTAAAACAACAATGAGAGTGTATTTCTTTTTAAACCAACAAACTTAAAATTTTAGAACAGTATTAGACATACAGGAAAACTCAGCAGATAGTACAGTTTCCATAGACCCCTGCCCAATACACAATTCCCCTATTATTAACAACTTATATTAGTATGGTACACTTATCACAATTAAAGAACCAATATTGATAAATTATTATTAACTAAATACTCTTTACTCAGATTTTCTTAGTTTTTACCTAATGTCCTTTTTCTGTTCTGGGATCCCACCCAGGATACGTCATTCCATTTACTGTCTTTAGGCTCCTCTTGACTGTGACCTTTCCATGGACTTGCCTTGTGTTTGATGACCTTCACAGCTTTGAGGAGTCCTGGCAGGTGTTTTGTGGAATGCCCTGGTACCAGAACGTCTCTGGGGTTTTCCTCCTAGACTTGGGGCTGTGGGTTTTGGGCAGAGTGACCACAGAGGTGCAGTGCCATTTTCATCCCATCACATCAAGGGCGCCTACTGTCCACATGATTGATGGTTGTTGCTGTTGACCTTGACCACCTGGCTTCAAGTAGAGTTTGTCAGGCTTCTTGTCTGTAAAATTATCCCCCACACCCCACAAACGCACCTCTTTCCATACTGTACTTATTAGAAGGAAGTCATACTTGCAGTTATGGAGTGGGGACTTATGTGCCCCTCTTTTAGGATGAAGTATCTGCATCATTTATTTGGAATTCTTCTGCATGGGAGATTTATCTCCTCTTTCCCTACTTATTAGTTTATTTCATCATTTCTTTACATCAGTTTGGACTCCTGGATACTTATTTTATAGTTGACTTACATAATACAACACTACTTAATTTTGTGCCTCAAAGTGTTATACTTTTTACCCTTCACATTGGAAAAATTAAAAGATGATTAACAACCTGGGCCGTGGCAGCTGAGGGGTGCTGGCTGCCCAGGGTATGAACTGCTTCCCCTTGAACTTGGAGCTGCATGTTTTGTTCTGGAAGCACTAGTAGTAAAAGGAGCAAGGCTAAAGCAATGTACATTGTCTGGGCCCATTTTTATATGTAAAAGGAAGTATCTGAAAGGAGGAATCTCTCTCCATTTGTCTCCTGGCAGCCATATGGCTCACTCTCAATTCATTCTCCGTCCAAAGGACATCTGAGGGATCCTTGTGCAACCCCTCCCAGCTGCCAGTGGCTTTCTGGTTCCCTGTGAATAACATTCAGCCCCTTACAGTAGCCTGCGGTGCTCTCTGTAGCAGCTCAACTCAAATGCCCCTTCTCAGAGAGCTCTTCTTTGGCACTTCCCACTCAAAGCAGCCTGGTTTCCACCCCAACGGCCATCACTCCCAGCCCATCACCCCACCACTTCCCCCAGAGAATTCATCACTATTTGAAACATTCTTGTTTACTCTCTGTTGCCTCCCCACCCCTGACTGGAATGTAAGCCCCTTGAGGCAGCACTCGTGGCTGCTGCCCTACCTGCCCCCAGGCTCAGCCCAGGGCCCAAGGCGCAGCAGGCCTCAACACTCCCTACTTGTTGAGTGAAGGACCTTAGAGAAACAAGGAGAGACAACAACCCTTCAGCTTCATTAGTGACTTTAGGGGTGTGGGGCTGGAAAGGCAGAGAGGAGAGATTAGTGTTTACTTTAGATACCTCTGGTTTATTTAAGCTGTTACAAAGAACATGTAGTACTATGGTTTGTAATTAAAAACCAATTTTTAAAGTTGATTACAAAAAAGAAAAAAGAAATAAAAATTTTCATTTCTTGGGGAAAAAATAACAAAAAAAGCAGAGGGCTTCATGTGGGAGAGTGTTTGGCGTGTTGCGAGCACAGGTAGTCTCCTGGGACGGGATTGGGGTGGGCTGAAGAGGCCTGGAGGGGATGGTGGCAGAGGAGGGGTTGGTGTGGACAGGGAGGCTCTGGAATTGTTATAGGCCGGTGGAGGTAGAAGGGGTGGAAGGCAGAGGTGGGGCTGGGAGGCCTGTCTGGAGTCCGCTGAATGTGGATTGATTTGGGGTGGCTGATGGGCGTGACTAGGGAATCCTCAGCCAGACTATGGCACCACCAGTGGGACTTGACCAGCCCCAACGCCCGGTCTCTGGCCCAGTCCCCTTGGGAGCTCGTCACCTCCCCTCTCTTTTTTCTCAGCAGTAGAAGTGGGATTGACCCAGGAGTCTCGCAGGTTCTCCGGGCTCGGATGAATGCCTCCGTGGGCGCTGGCTCATGGGGCCTAGGGAACTTGCGTTGGGCGGAGGTCTTGCAGCCCCGGTCCCCGGAGCCGGTTACGGAGCTCTGAGCAGACCGCCTCCGCCTCCGACCAACAGAGGGCGCCGCGGCACCGCCGCACCAATCGGGTCAGCGCGTTCCAGAGCCGCTCGCGGCGCCTGCAGTCCATCGTGTGCCCAGGCGTCCACCGCCTTCCGGCCCCCGGGATCCTTCTCTCCACAGCCCTGTTCACTCCAAGAGTGTCCACGGGGCTCGGGTGTCCGGTTCTCTGGTGAAGAGGTCAGGATGGATCTGGAGCCTGAAGGGGGCGCAAAAAGTCATTTCTTCGATGCCCCTGCCTCTAATCTCCGTCTTCGCTTTCCCTCCCTGCAGCCCTCCCAAGTCCAGAGCAGCCTGGGCCACAGTACGGGGACATCTGTGGGCAGGATCCGCACTGAGCTGCAAGCCTCTCACTCACATGTCTCGCTTCATCTCATCCCAAGAAAAGTTCCTTCTTCCCTATTTCATGCCCCACTGGCTCTGCCATCCCAGGCCTGGCAGGCTCTCTGCGTGGGTTGTCCCAGGATCAGAGGAAGTGCCGCTGCCTCTCAAACACCTAGTTTGGCCCTCCTGGGATTCCGGCCACCCGGCTACTCTCCCTGGAGCAGACTGGGCCCACAGGTGGGACCAGGCCCGTGGCAGAACATGAAAGACTCCGGATGCCTGTTGGCCAAGTCCCCAGCGGAGCCAGGTAAAAGGGCTCCTCCCTCCTCTTCCAGGAGCTGGGCAGGCCTAGACTTGCTGCACGATGTGGAAGAGTCACTCTGGTCTGGCTGTTGCCCAACTGCTACAGGGAAGCCATGTACCACTGCTCCTGAGGATCTCTCCTGAGCAGGACTGAAGGCCCTATTAGGCTGTTGGTCCAGGGTCTGTGGTGGGTGGGTGGTGTGAGTGAGGCCTGGCTGGTGAGGCTGCAGAGAAATATTCTAGGCAAGCTTCCCAGGAAAGCCCCGGTACTCACTATATGACATGTGAAGTGCATTGTATCTTTCCAGCCAGGCGATTTGGACTGGGATGTTGAATGGGTGGGTGGGGAGGGGCTGAATGACCAGCACTCTGGGCCAGTGTAGATGAAGATCCCACACCCAGGCCCTTACCCTGACTCCCCTTTTCCCTGTGGAATCCTGTTCTCAGGATGGTTCTGATGGCCCTCAGTTGGCTGTAGGGATCAGGCCAATGGGCACCTTCTTTTCAGGGTGCCCTCTGCTGTCATCAGTTCCTGGGTCCAGATGAAGCACAGGCTCTAGGGTGCTCTAGGGGCACAATGAGAGGTGTGGACATGTGCAAATAAATTGTAGGAAGTCCTGGGCTGGGCATTTGACCTGTTTGCCCAGAACTGTCATGTCCTGACCCATAACTGGTGGCAGGAGGGCATAGTGGCTAATAGTCTGCCAAATCCAAGTTCAAATCTGGGTTTGATTGTTGCTTACAGTGTGACTTGGCAAGGTATGGTCACTTTTAGCTTCACTTTTTCCACCAGTAAAGTGGAACGACAATATCTCTAACAGCACATGGTTGGGGTAAGGATTAAGTGATAGACTATGTAATAATAACCATAATAGCAAACACTGAGTCGTGCTAAGGGGCTCTTTCTTCCAAGTACATTGCATTAATTAACTCATTTAATCTTCACTATAAGCATATGAGGTCTGTCCTTTTATTAAGCCCATTTTTGTAGATAGAGTCATAGCCCTTGCTCTTAAAGAATTTCCAGTCCAGTGGGGAGACAGAGAAGTTAGCAAAAATCCTTTGAGCCAAATCAGTCTGTTTGATGAAATGAGAATTCAGGCCATAAATCTTCAAGCTCTAATTGGGTCTTCACAATCTCCCCCAGTGAGCCCACATTACAGGCAAGGAATTAGGGGCTCAGAGAGGCTAGGATACACACCCAAAGGCACACAGCCAGAAGGACGGAAGTGGCATTGTCTGATTCTGGTGAACACGCTCTTCCCCCAAAATAAACAAAGTATAATTTAGAACAAAGTGCTTGCCATGTGATGCAGTTTCCTGAATAGTCCCCTAGTGCCTCCTTATAGAGGATTGCAGGCCCCAAGTGCCTATGTAGTTCCTGTACAGATACTGGGCCGACCCTGCCTTTTCATCCCACTGCTCTGCTTCTGGATTCACAGTGTTACTTCTGCCTGGTAAGACTAGAGAAGGATTCACCCAGGAGGGGACACTAGAGGGGGGACTTGAAGGCTGTCTAGGCATGTGCCAGGTGGACAGAGAGAGAAGCCCACCTAGGAAGAAGGAACAGCATGGGCAAAGGCAAAAAGGTGTGAGTACTTATGGTCGGGGGGACAGAGGGGTATAGTTGGTGCAGAGTAGGGTGACTGAAGTTAGAAGGCAGGGCCACCCAAGGAAGCTGGCTTAGGGGTTAATACAGGTAGGAGGCCTGGGAGGGGGCAATAGAGATAAGGCAGAAAGTGCAGGGTGGAGCCATATTCCAGAGGAGACAAAGCTCTGACCAAAGGCTGCAACTCTGTGGTATCCCAGGGACCTGCTGGTCGGACAGCCACTAAAATAGCCACTTGATCAGCACTGCCTCCTCCCAGTAAGTCACACAGGAGGAGCCCTGCCAGTCCTGCCTGCTTGGGGGTCTGGGTGGGCTCTCTGCTGCTTACAGCCTTTCACTGGCACACAGCCTTGGCACATGAGTCCCTCTGTGAAGCTGAGCTGTGTGTGTTGGTGCACTAATCCACCTGTGTAGACTGCACCGGGGTTATCGGAGGGTGTGTGTGTGTATGTGTATACAAGTGTAGGCAAATGTGTGTGAATTTTGAGTCTGTGTGAGGACACAGACCCAGGGACATCTGGACACTCAGTGCATGTCCCACAGGGCCTGGGTCAGTGTACACAGGCCTCTGTGTTTGCACGTAGGTGGAAGCCAGTATACTCTGCATATGTCAAGTGCAGGTGTATGTGTGTGTGTATGTGTAAGACTGTCTCTTAGGAGACACCTGGGTCCAGGGGAGATGGAGAGAAGCAGGCCCCAGAAAAGGCTCAGCATCCTGCAAGATCAGAATTCTTAGACTTGGCCAACCAGGAGGCACAAGCAAATCAGATGTAAGTGATTTGCAAATGAGCAGGCTTCTCCTTCCTGGCTGGGGCTGCCTGGCCCCCCTTGCCCCCAGACCTCCTGAGCCCTTGGGGGCAGAGGCCATGGAAAGTGGGGCCCTAGGGGTGCTGGGAGCAGAGTTCCTTGTAACCTTGGTCCCTCCCAGCTTGTGGATTAAGACTCAGAACCCTACAAGACCCCATGGGCACAGGAGGCTTCCAGGTGCCACACTGCCTAATTCCCAGCTGTGGGCACAGTGGGAAGGGAGAAGGAGAAAGAGGGGAGGGTGCTCGGTGGGTGCTCCCAGACCTCCGAGGAGAATGGATGTCACAGTGACAGCTGACGCAGTCTGCATTTGCTGGTCAGGCACAGTTGTTCGGGCACCAGGGTGAGGGATCAAGGACAAACAGAAGGCTTGGAAGTGGGCAGGGCCCCTGGGGCTTTCCTTTGTGTTCAGAGCACAGACCCATGGAGCTGAGAAAGCCTCATGCAGCCCTTCCACCCCTCCCTCTGCAGAGGAGCCCGGGCCCAGGGAGGGCATGCCAATTACCCAGTGTGAGTCCATGGGGCTGAGAACAGGCCCCAGGCTGCCAGGGACCTGGCAGTGCACACACCTGCACCTCTTACCCCTGTAGACCTCTACCCCACCTGGGTGGAGCACACTCATCAGCACCAGAACCAAGGACCTGGCTCCCATACCCCAGCCTGAGCACTGGTACCAGGACATCTGCCACAGATGTGCACACAGCCTCCGGCAGGACCTTCACCCAGCTGCCCTTCTTTCCTTACACCCATGCACATGCCTATAGACAGCTGGGGGACAGGGAAATTGGTGCTTGGTTTCCTCAGCCCCACGAGCTCCACAACATACTACCCCACTGCTGGGCACACTGCCATCTCTGCATCTCTGATCCAGTTTCAGATTCACATGCTGTTGGGGATCCAGCTGCCTCCAGACTGGGGGGTTTGGAGTTTGCCTGACTCCTGGGTCATTTCTCCTTGTGGCAGGGGCTCTGACTCCTTTCCATGGGGTCCCCTGAAGGCAAGGGCTATGTATCCCCACATCAGATTAGAGCTTCCTTGGGGTGGTGACTGACCCACTGTCAGGAGCCTCCTGAAATCAGGAGCTATGTGTGCCCATGGGCCAGATTGCCAGCTCCTCTTGGAGCCAGCCCTGGGCTCTGCACAATGGTAACAGTGGGGTAAGCCAAAGGTCAGAGGTCAAACTTCATGAGTGCAAGGGAGGGAAATCCAGCCTGACCAGGACAAAATCCTGCCATCCTGGCTACAAAGGGCAGGAGGTATCCTCTGATGCCGCTCTGGCCATAGGTCCCTCCTGCTGTTGCTCCAGATGGAGCCCTGGAAAGAAGTGACACAGGGCCTGTCCAGGCGCTCATATTCCCTTCTTCTAGGCAGTCTTTCTACGTGTCTGCCTCAGTTCTCTCATGCTGTGGCATTTCGTCTCATTTGGCTTCATGGGACACTCACATGAGGTCTCCCAACCTCACAGTTTTCCAAGATGCAGGCCAGAGGGACTGTGGTGACCATCCCAGGCTTCTCAGCCCATTGGGACAGAAGGGGCTTGCCCAAGGCCTGCAGGAATTGAGGGCAAATGCTGGGGGTCGTGTCTTCCAGCTCTGGTTCCTAGACCATCCATGTCCTGGCACCCTCTCATAGGTCTTCCCCCAGCTCTGCCCAGAAGCTCCTCCTGAGGGGGAGGTGTGGACCTTTGACCTCTGCCCCATGCCCATCTGCCCCACTCAGCACTCACCCCTGATGGCAGCAGCCCAGCGAGCCTGCAGCTGGGGATGGGGGCAGGGAGGCGGGCAGCAGGGACAGAGCCCCAGTGGAGGCCCTCTGTGGGGAGCTGAGTCCCCCCCACCCCCGGCCTGGCCCCCACCCCCGGCCTGGCCACACCCCAAGAGGTGCTTCTGAGATAGAGTGGGTGGTCCTGCCACCAGGGGGGCAGTGAGCTCAGTTCAGGAAATGGCTGGTGGTGGACACGGCCCGCTCCCCTCTGTTCCTGGCCCCTTGGGAGGTATGAGAAGCAGGCAGGTGCCTGGTGGTGGACCACAGCCCCAGAAGCAGCAGGAAACAGATCCATTCTTGGGGACCCTCCAGCCTCATGGAGAAAACATTGCCCTGACCTCAGGCATCTCCCGTGTGAAGGGGAGGCACAGCCCCTGCCCTCAGGGAGCTCAGGTCTGAAGCAGACAACCTGTCCCACTTTCTTTAATAATTTATAAGCCATCTCTCCCAGTGGGGCTTGTTGAATGTGTGTTTTCCGCACCAGCTGGGACCTCCTTAGGCTCCTCATCTGGCCTGCGCATGGCTGTCTCTTGCACCAGCACACGCTGCCTGAGATGTACTGAGTTAAACTGTGCAGGGAGAGTCCATCAGATTAGATCTCCCGGATCCCAGGGTGCACCCAGTTCCTCTCCGCTCTGCAGGGTTAGTCAGGCACCAGGAGCTACTGATCTTCCTGGTCAACACAGACTTGGCCGCTGCCTGGGCTCTCTGCCCACCCCACCAGCCCTTCCAATCCCATTTCTTCCCCACAGCCAGGGAGGTCCTTCCACAGCTCATATCCCAGCAGTCAGTTCCAGGCCTCAAACCTGCCTTGGCCAACCCTGCCCCGGGAGTGTTCCAGCTCCTTGTCTGGCATTCCGAGCTTCTCACATATGGCCTCACACAACTTCCCTGCCTCATTGCAGGGTTAGACGTTTGCCTCCCCTGACCTAGAGCCCAAGCCTCCCTTCTCTCCCGGCCTGAGCCTGCCTGTGACGAAGGTTGCCTGCACTGGCACCTGTAACCCTGTGACTCTCTTAGTATTTGTCAGACTGTGAGGTCCTGGACGCACGCTCACCCTGAATCTGTCTGCACACCAGGATGCAGACGTGGAGAGACGGGCAAATGGCTACTCTCTCAACACCTAGCCCTTCCCAGGCTGCCTCCCACCCATCCTCCCAGACCCTTGCTCGCTTCCTGAGTTCCTTCCTACCACCTGCCCCAGTCTGGGATGGACTCGTTTGCTGATTGCTTACTTGTTTAGTGCCATTAGAGTGTGAGTTCAAGACAGGTCTCAGACCGTCTCTCCGGGAGCCTGCTCCACCCTGCCATGTGGCAGCTAGTAGGGCTGAGCACGGGCTGTGTGCCAGTGCCTCATTCTGGGAGCTCTGCGTGTGTTACCTCCTTTCATCCTCTGAGCCTGGTGAGGCGGCTCCTACGCTCACTTACATGCAGGTTAGCAGAGACCCCAGCAACTTGCCCAGAGACTGCTGTTAGTTGTGTGTGTGTTGGGGGTGTGGCTGTGATGGGAGCCCAGGCTTCATTTGCGGCACTCCACTGCCTCCAGGACAGCAGCTGCCATCACGGATGGACAGCAGTGACTAAGTCAGAGAGTGGGAGCAAGGTCAGACAGCAGAAAGGACTTTCAGACCCTGTCTCCTTGGGGTCAAGGTGTTTTATTTCTGTCAAAATGAATGAATGAATGAATGAACCTGTTCCCTGGGGAGCAAGGAAGGACTCTCCTTGTCCAGCCAGAGGAGTCTGCTGGGGTGGTTAAGGAGGGGTGAACATCTGGCCAGAGGTAGAGGAATGCAGAGATGAGTATATGAGGAACTGCTTGGAGCCATGCTGGGAAGGAAGGGGTTAACGCCCCCGCACGCTCACTGGCCTGCTTGCTCAGGCCTCTGATCAGTGTATGCTTTGGCTTAGGGAGTCAGTTCTGTTTGTCTGAGATGTCCCCTCTCTTTGCCCTCCTTCCCAGGGCTGTTGGCAAGCCTGCTGTCCCACAGGCCAGCCAGCCAGCTGTGCAGCTGTCTGGGACTGCGTCTGGGTGACGGGGCGTGAGAACATCTAGGGCTGGGTGTGCAGAACAGTCAGGCAGTGGGGCTCCCACAGCCTGGGGACATACAGTTGTGCCCCTCTGGCTCTGGTCCTTGTGCTCATGCAGGAGGGTGGGCACAGGTGCTTTTCCTTCACAGTGTGTGACAACAGAGGAGGTGTCCTGGCTCGCAGCTGGGCACAAAGGATCTGTGCTGGTGGCCTTTGCTTTGAGACAGGATGAGAATTAGGGAGGATTAGGGACAGGGCGCTGCTTTCAGACTGAATCTGCGTGTGTGAAAGCAGGCAGGCGCCCTGTTCTTTCTCTTTTCTCTGCTGGGGTGGGATGTACCCGCCACCCTCACCCCACCCTCCAGGGCCTCCGTGGACCCAGCAGACTAGTTCAGGGCCCAGGTTTTTGCTCTTACAATACCTATATTCCTTTCTTCATATTCCCCCCCCCCCAGATGTAACAGACACGTTGGTTAATGTCTATTTCCCTGATTTGTCTGCAAGATCCCTGAGGTCCCCTCTCTGCTCATTCAGTATTGTGGTCATAGCACCAAACTCAGTGTGTAGCTTGTAGTGGAGGCTCAATATGGAGAGAGAGACGGAACTCTCAGGAGGTGCCCATGACCAGAAATCATCATGTCCTGCCCCTGCTCACAGCGCATTCACAGCTCCCCATTGCGTCCTCAGCCTGCTGTTCTCACTCCTCCCTCACTGCTCTCTGGTCTGATTTCTCAGCCTAAAGTCTTGCAGCCAACAGCCACATTGTTCCCCAAGTTCACTTCTGTCAAGCTGTCCCCCACCAGAACAGCCCTTTCCTTCTGCCCACTCCCAACCTTGGTTGCCTTCAAAATCCCACCAGAGCCAGACTGTCCCTCCTTTCAGAAGCTTTCCCAGACTCCCCTGAAAGTCTAAAGTGACTTCCAGATATTGGCCTCCCCCTTGAGGATGGGGGTCCCAGTGACCAGGGTCACGGCCTCACCAACATGCATCCCCCAGCCTCGTGCACATTCAACTGCCCTTTGTTGAATGAAGTCGAAATAAAGAAAGGATCCCCTCCTGGCCCCCTGCCTGGGCCATCAGCACACTTGCTATCACACGGTCCAGAGACAGACAGAGGTCTGGGGGAGGCACCGCAGTCCACCACTTTCAGGGGAAGGTGTGGCAGAGTCAATGCTAAGGCGATACCCAAGAGTCACACCCTCATATATTCCCAAGGCTGTGCCTTACTCCCAGCCGACAGGATATGAAGGAGGTGAAGGGGTTTTGCAGATGTAATTAAGGTTCCAAATCAGTTGATTTTATCAGAAAGGAGTTGATTCCGGCTGAGGCCTTCCCTGAGTTCAGAGCTCCTCTTCTTGGCCTTGAAAAAGTAACCTGCCCTGTAGTGAGAGGACCTGGGAGAGGGCCATGTGTCAAGGAGCTGCGGGCGGTCTTGGCTGGCAGCCAGCAAGGGAGACCGAACCTTGGTCCTGTAACCATCCCTACAACAACCACGTGTGAGCTTGTGAAGGACCCTGAGCTCAGGGAGGAATGGGGCCCTGCCAGCAACCGTGCCTGCAGCCATGTGAGACCCTGAGCAGAATACTCACTTAAGCTGCACTCACACTCTAACTATAGAAACCACAAGATAATAAATGCATGTTTTAGCTGCTCAATTTGTGGTCATTTATTACTCAGCAGCTAATTGTGGGGGTGGGGGTTGGGGCTTGAGACTCACCACCTCTGGGAGCAGTGCTGTGGGGAGGGCCAGGGGGTGGGAGAGAACCTAAGGGACTAGGAGGCTGAGTTCAAGTCTTCGCTGCCCACCTGCCACTGGTTTACCCACCCCAGACCCCAACCGTCTCCACCTCTGCACCTCACCTGCCTGTGTCAGGTGCTTGGCCCAGTTGGTCTCAGTGGGGGACCTGGGGGATCATGGTTTGGGGTCCTAGTCTCTGGGTCTTCATGAATTCAGGCCAAAGTTGGGATAAGGCTAACGATATCCCAAACACACCGCAACCCTAATACCAACTGTGAGGCCCCAAATTACCCCAGAGGAAGGTGAAACACGGATCCTGCCCTCTCTCCACATTCCTACAGATGCCCGCCGCCTGCTATGGCTGTGGCCCAGACAGCCCTGAGAAGACAGCTGCTGCCCCCTTGGCTCTTCTCTTTGGGGTAAGAGTTCACAGCCCTCAGGGTGGGTGGGCAGCTGGGGCTCCAGATGTGGGGGAGCCTGGGGTAGTGTTACACCCGAGTGGCTGGTCTACTTCCCCAGGAGTGGGGATACCAGGGTGTCTGGGATTGGAAAAGCTGGGAGGGGGCTATTTATTTCCTACTTTCCCCTCCCTGCCCAGCTCTGCTCCTAGGCCCCCTCCTGGGTGTGGGTAACTTGGGATCAGCTAAAAGCAGGGCTTGATGAGGGGACCTGGGTCCGCACCCAATTGAGGTGCAAACTGCCACCCCCTTAGGTCTTTCCTGCCCCTGAAGAGAGTCTGACCCAGATGTCCCAAGACTTGCCGGAAGCCTCCAGCCAGAACAGCTGGCGAGAAGCCTAACCCCTTTCCAGGCCCTTCCTTTTGTAGGCAGTGAATACACCAGGATTTAGTTTCTCCATTCACACCCCCTCCCCAGCCCATGGCCCAGGGCTCCCATCTATCCTGTCCAAGGCAGACAAAGAAGGCATCTCCGGTTCCCTTGTCGGGCCCCTGCCCTTTGATCTGCCCCCTCCTCCTGCCCTGGGGACCCTGAGGTGTCCTGGAGAAAACTCTATCCAGGAACAAGTACCCAGAGATGTGAGGGAGCCTGGGGCACAAGGGACTTTTCAAAGGATACCAACAGCTCCCGCCCAGCGCACTACCCAGCCCACCTCCACGGGCTACCTGACCTCCTTCCCTCCATATCTGCAGTGCTCTCCCCAGGCCTCGACTCGCATCAGACCCCTGACAGGGAGATTCTCAGAGCACTGAGACCGTCAGGTCCCCCAACTTCCCAGCAACTCTTCTGGTGAGAGATGCTTACTGCATGGAGCAGTGCCTCTCAAAACGGAATCCTGGGCCACCTGCCACAACACAGTCACCTGGGGCTCTGAGGCCCAGCCTCACTGAATCTAAACCTCCACGGGGGCCTGGGCAGTTGCACATGCAGCAAGTTGCCAGGTTGACACTAGATGGCCACTCCCCAGCCCCAGATCACCAGGGGCCACAGTAATGTACCTATCCTGAGCTGCCCCCTCCCCCAGGCCTCAGCACCACGTGGGGCACTGGGGGGAGCTTGGACTCCTGCAAGTCCCTGTTGTGTGACAGGCTCCCCTCAGCCTCCTAGAGGCCAACACTCCTCTGGGCCCAGGAAAACCCAGTTCTGCCCTCCCTTTCTGCTGCTCCTGGGGGCTGCAAGCCTCAGGCAGAACCCCTTGCTCCTGGGCCTCATGCGAGCCCCTCTCTTCCTATTTTACTTTCTTGCAGGGATCTCAGAGCAGGCAGGGTTGCAGGCAGCTCAGAGTGAGCCTTGGGCCAGACAGAGCTGGCTTCAGCCCTGACTTCACCATGCACCAGCTTGTGCCCTCGGGTGGTGCCTCTCTGGGCCTCCCCTTCCCAGCTCAGCCCTGGGCTCCACCCCTCTTTCTTCTGCTCTTCTCTCCCTCTAGCTGAGCGACTTTCTCTCTCCCTAGTTCCCTTTCTCTTCCATTCGATTTCCTACCTGCATATCCCCGAAACACCCTGCCCTGAAGTCCCCTCTCAGTGCCCTCTGCATTTCACCCTGACATGTTCTTGCCCTCCTGTGCCCTGTCAGGACCACCTTAGACTTGGTGAGGAGATGTGTGGAGCAGGAGATCAGCCAGAAATCTTAATCACTAAATTTCAAGTTGGAAATATGTACACTTGACATTATGTGATAACATGGAACTTACTCCCCTAACCCATAACCCCAGTCTAATCATGAGAATAACATCAGACAAATCCCAATGGAAGGACATTCTATAAGATTCTTGACAAGGATTCCTCAAAAGTGTCAACGTCATCAATACAAGAAAATTCTGAGAACTTGCTATAGCTTACGGAGCCTGAGAAGATATGACTATTAAATGTGATGTTCTGGGTGGGATCTGGGAATATAAAAAGGACATTAGGTAAAACAAAGGAATTAAAGCATGGGCTTTAATTAATATTAATGGATCAATATTGTTATTGATGGTAACTAATGTGCCATGTTAATGTAAGATGTTAATAACAGGGGGAATTGGGTGTGGGATACATGAGAACTCTGTACTATTTTTCTCTAAATCTAAAAGTTTTCTAAAATAAAAAGTTTATTGAGAAAAAATATTTACAAAGCATATATCTCACAAAGGACTTGCATCCAAAAATACATAAAGAACTCTCAAAACTTACTAAGAAGACAACCCAGTAAAAAGTAGGCAAAACAACAAACACATGAAAAGATGCTCCACATCACTAATCATCAGGGAAATGCAAATTAAAACCACAATGAGATGTCACCTCACACCAGTAAGGATGGCCAGCATCGAAAAGACTAAGAATAACAAATGCTGGCGAGGATGCGGAGAAAGGGAAACCCTCTTACACTGCTGGTGGGAATGTAAGCTAGTTCAACCATTGTGGAAAGCAATATGGAGGTTCCTCAAAAAACTAAAAATAGAAATACCATTTGACCCGGGAACCCCACTCCTTGGAATTTACCCAAAGAATACAACTTCTCAGATTCAAAAAGACATATGCACCCCTATGTTTACTGCAGCACTTTTTACAATAGCCAAGATATGGAAGCAACCTAAGTGTCCATCAGTAGATGAATCGATAAAGAAGATGTGGTACATGTGCACAATGGAATACTATTCATCCATAAGAAAGAAACAAATCCTACCATTTGCAACAACATGGATGGAGCTGGAGGATATTATGCTCAGTGAAATAAGCCAGGCAGAGAAAGATAAATGCCAAATGATTTCCCTCATTTGTGGAGTGTAACAATGAAGCAAAACTGAAGGAACAAAATAGCAGCAGACTCAGAGACTCCAAGAATAAACTAGTGGTTACCAAAGGGGAGGGGTGTGGGAGGGCGGGTGGGGAGGGAGGGAGAAAGGGATTGAGGGGTATTATGTTTAGTACACATGGTGTGGGGGATCACAGGGAGAACAGTGTAGCACAGAGAAGGCACATAGTGGATGTGTGGCATTTTGCTGCACTGATGGACAGTGACTGCACTGCAGTATGGGTGGGGACTTGATAATATGAGTAAATGTAGTAACCACATTGTTTTTTCACGTGAAACCTTCATAAGAATGTATATCAATCATACCTTAATAAAAAAAAATTTTTTAAAAGCGGGCAAAAGATTGGAAGAGACATTTTGCTAAAGGAGATGTATAGATGGCAGATAAGTACATGAAAATTAAAAACACTATGAGATACCACTGCACACCCATTAATGGCTAAGTTTTTTAAATATGAAACTGATCATACTAAGTGTTATGGAGGAATTCAGATTCCCACACACTGTTGTGGGGAACATAAAATGGTACATACACTTTGACAGTTTCCTAAAAGGTAAATATATACCTACCATATGATCCAGCCATTCCACTCCCAAGTGTTTGTCTAAGAGAAAAGCAAACATATATGTTCACACAAAGCCTTGTACATGAAGGGCCATAGCAGCTTTACTTGCAATAGCCAAAATCTGAAGTCAACAAAATGTTTCATTTATCAAGTGAATGGATAAACAAACTGCGGCCCTCCCATAAGGTGGAATATATTCAGCAATAACAAAGAACCAACTTTTGGTACCGGCAACAACGGGGATGAATCTCAAAATAGTTATGCTGAGTGAAAGAAGTCAGATTTAAAAAAAAGAGACAGGCTAGGTGATTTCATTTATATAAAACTCTAGAAAATAGAAACTAACCTATACTAACAGAAAGCAGGTCAGTGGTTGCATTGCAGATGAGGGAAGAAAGGGGAAGGAGGGATTACAAAGGGCATGATGAAATTTTAGAGGTGGTATATTCCCTTCCCTGGTTGTGGTGGGAGTTTCCTGGTTGTATACATATGTCAAGACTATCAAATTCTACATTTTAAATATGTGCGGTTTACAATATATCAATTATACCTCAATAAAGAAAAAAATCCTTCAGCTGAAGTTTCTAATTAAAATAATTTCTTTAAACACTTTGAGTTAAACTAAGTAAAATATGCATATGGTTAAAAAATTAAATAGCACAGAAGGGATTAAAATGAAAAACAACTTGTCCCATCTGGAAAACTTTGTAACCATTTTTATTTTTAGATATTCTGGTGAATGTCTTTTTATCTCTCATTTTTATACTGTCATTTAAAAATATTTTGTTTTACTTCTCTTCCTTGACTTGTCAACTTTAAATGTTAGCGATTGATTGCCTTTTAGGATTGAGGAGGATTTGGCTGTCAGCCTCCCGGTTCCTCTTGTCCTTCCATGTGGTTGTACTGCACGGATCTCAGACCATCCATTCCTCTTGCCCGCAACGTGGAGCATCACACATCAGGACCTTGATTACTTGTTCAGCCCACCAGAGATGGTAGCTCCTGATTCTCTACTTTGGAGATGAGGACTATGGTCCTCCCTTCTCTTTTTGTTTCCCACGTCCCAGCCACTGTAAGCTGAACTTTTGACATAAAGTCATTAACATTTACCTTCTAGGCTGTACCCATAGACAAGTCTATGATTTCTCTAAAAGTTAATCCTTTTAAAAACAACCACCACAACTGAAAAAGCACCCTTTGACCATGTTAATACTGTTCACTGCAGAGCCACGTGGTGCGCTAGGATACAACATGACTGTGACAACCAGCTCTCGTCATCTTACGGAGGGGAAAACAGACCAGTGAGTCGGCTCCTTGCTGAGGGTCTGTATGATGCACATACCACATGGTTCCAACTATCAGACAATCTGGAAAAGGCAAATTCTGTGCCATACTATAATGGTGGATACATGTCATTGTACATTGTCCAAACCCAAAATGTACAACACTAAAAGTGAACTCTATGTCAACATGGACTTGGGGTGATAGTGGTTCATCAACAGAGGCTGCCAGGTGTGACAAATGTACCACTGGGTGAGAGATGTAGGTAGTGGGGGAGGATGTGTGCTGGGGACACAGTGGGCGCACAGGAACTCTCAGTGTTTCCACTCAGTTTTGCTGTGAACCTAAAACTGTTCTAAAAAATATGAAGTTTATTAAGTAAAAAAAAAAAAGAACAGAGCGCTGAGGGATGGACTTTCATTACTGGAGGGGTGGCAGATACAGAATGAATTCTTGTTGCATTTTGAGCATGTTGCCATTGATTGAGGGGTGGGCAGAACACTACAAGGCGGTATTTATAGGCAACCAGAAAATTGGGCTTGAAGAGAGGGAGCCCTGAGGTAACAGACTAGGGAGCCATTTGGAGTGGGGATAAGGGCAGGTGGACAGAAGGGCCCGGAAGGCAGCATGGCCTCGAGAGAGTGAAAGGCCCAGCGGGGGATCCCCAAGCTCTGACCTTGGGGCAGTGGGAGGTAGCTGGGTGCCAGCAGCTGAGGGAGGACAGCGCTTCTGGAAAGAGGAGGCCCTTGGGGGTACAGGCGCAGGGAGGCTGGCCAGTGAGGCCTGGGCGGCACCCCTGATCCCACAAGGAGGGAGGCCAGCTTGGGGCCCCAGAGGGCAGAGGGTTGGAGGAGAGCAGGGCGAGTGTGGGTTGAGGGTGGGGTGGAGGAGGGGGTGACCTTCTGTCTCCCAGAATCAGGGAGGGTGGGAGGGTGGGGACTGTGAGGGTGTCGGGGCGCAGAGAAGGTGTTTATAGGATGAGAGAACTGGGAGGGTGTTTATAGGCTAAGGAGACAGACTCTGGGAGAATCCCGAGCACAGGTGGGCGAGAAAGGGACTTTTTCATGGCTTGTTTTGATTTATTATAGAAAAGGTACTATACCAACTCTTAAAACATTTTTTATAGAAAACACCCATAATTCCACCTCTCAGTTTGCTCAATGATTCTGTTTTTTTCTGATGTCAAGAAATTTTTCCTGGCAGAGAGAGGAAGGGAATCCAAGAGGTCCTGTCTCAAGACCTTGGACTTCCCAGAGCCCAGAAGGCTGGGTGGGGTGCAGGGTGGGGCACCAAAGACTCACAACCACCGCAGGGGGATTTAATATCGAATCCATCAGAAATGCGTAAAATCACCGTCCCCAGCACCGGGCCTTGGCCCTACCCACCCACCCCCTTTCCCGGGCCACTGCCGCCAACACCCACCCCGACTGAGCGCGTGGAGGGGGCGGAGGGCCGCGCAGCAGCGCCCGTGGGGAGGCCAGTGGTAATTGAATCCAGGGGCCCCGAGACAGAGGCCAATGGCCTTTCCCGGTCTAATTGGAGGGGTATTTTGTAAAACTCAGGAAACAAATCCATATGGTCTGCGATTCCTTTCTCAGGCTCTTTACCCTCCTGAAGTCATAAATGTCGTGGGCTTTTTAGCACAGGAGAATTGGGAAGGGGGAGGGCTCAGAGGCTTAGGTTTCTGCGCGGGAGCTGGGTCCAGGATCTGGGTCTCTGGTGCTGGGGTCCTGACCCCCACCAGCTCAACCACCTCGGCCCCCTCTGTGAATCTGGCAGGCAGACTCCATCCCCAACCCACGCAAGACACCCCTTCTCCCCCAGGCCTTTCCTGGAGCCAAAACCTCATCCACCAACCCGGCCCTTCTTCCCTGTCCTCCCTGTCCATCATGTTGCCTTCCCTCTGCCTGCCTGCAAGTCCCATGTACCGATGCCCACCAGCCTGTCTCTCTGTCGTCCTCCATGTGTGACCTGTTTCCACTATCCGACTGGGAGGTGACAGAATCAAGGATCGTGCTTTTCCCATCAGTCTGAGGGCTCCTTAACCGCTGTTCCAAGCAATTTTTAAGTGTTGTGAATAATACAGGAGGACATGAGGATGGACCTAGGGCAGGCAGAAGGGAGTGTGCAGGGCTTTGCATTTATATGGGGATGGCTCAGAGTTGGAGGAAGACTGGAACCTGGGAGCCAGACCCCTGAGCTGCCTTCCACATGGCATCACTTGGGGGGCTTACTGCACAAGGGCCTTGGTCCTCTGGGGTAGAACCAGGACTGCAGGAAAGGTGGAGAAGTAGGGATCTGCGGTAAAGCCAGGGGAGAGGCTCTGCTGCTCGGTGCTGAGTGACCTTGCTCAGGGCCTTCTAAGCTTGGAAGCCCCTCTGGGGACCTGGCAGGGC